GGGGTCTGGGCTCTGTGGAGAAGCTTCTGGCTGACCAGCTGCTGGTGTTCTCTCTAAATGCCTGTGATGTCTGTGCCTCTGTGGGAATGCTGGCCTGCAGAAAGAGCACGGGTGGGTTTTGGGCTTGGCAAGCTGCTCCTGGAGAGCAGCAGCAGTTCCTCTGGCCCACAGGCACCACGTGGAACGGGACCTGCTGCCCCAACAGCTGTCCTGGGGGGGCTGCAGGACCTGCTGCTTTGAGGGCTGCAGCCCAAACAGTTTGGATTTGCAGCTGGCTCTTGTGGCACGTGGAGTTTTTGCCTGTTTGCTTTCTGATCTGGAGTTGCCACACAAGCAGAGGGGTGAGGTGACTTGGCTGGCAGTGAGCTGAGCCTGCCTGAGCCCAGCTAGGGTTGCTCCACAGCCAGGGACTCGAGCTCAGGCAAGGGGCTGAGCTCCAAAGTGGTGCAGCTTGGGAGGTGAAAGCTTCCTCTGTGGCTGGGGTGGCTAAACCAGGTTTATTAAAATAAAGGAGTGTCTTTATCCCACGAGGGCCCTGGTAGCTTGGATCAGGATGTCAGGCACAGCATGTGATGCACTGAGGGAGCACAGAGCTGTCTTCTCAAGCAGCATGCTGTGGGAGGGCTGGATAAAAGTCAGTGGTTTTAGTCTTTGTCCTGAGCTCACTGACCTGTCCTCAGAACTCTCTTAACTCCCTGTAGCTCCTGGTTTCCAGGGGCACAAAAGCCTTTAGGAGGCATTTCAAGTTGCTACTTTCAAAGACTTTCCCCTCTTGCTGGAATTACCTTGTGAGGTGTTTGAAGTCTTGCATTGTTGTGCACTGGAAAAGTTTTGTCACTTGAATGTTAGATCTTAAAAGCTGCTCATACCTGTGTGCACTGAAAAAGGGGAATTATTTGGTACAGAAAATGCTGTACACATCCAACAGCTGGAGAATGTTTTGTGAGTTCCAGCTTGTAAAATATCTGAACTCCTTTGTGCCCAAGTCTCCCAGCTGAGGTTGGGAAGATGCTCTGTACTCCAGCAGTTTGCTCCCACCCAGACTCTGAAAGCTCCACCTGGATAAACTCGACCCTACCTGTAGTTCTACAGCTCCCTGAAAGGAGGTTGGGGTGAAGTGGGGGTTGGTCTCTTCTCCAAGGAAGTAACCATTGGTAGGATGAGGGGAAATGGGCTTCAGTTAGACCTGGGGGGGTTTAGATGGGACATGAGGCAGAATTTCTCTCCTAAAGGAGTGGTGGGACATTGGCCCAGGCTGCCCAGGGAGGTGCTGGAGTCCCCAGCCCTGGAGGGGCTCAAAACATCTGTAGATATCACTTGGGGACATGGTTTAGTGGTCGTGGTAGTGCTGGGTTGATGGTTGGGCTGGATCTTAGGGGTCTTTTCCAGCCTTGATGATTGAGTGAACCCCCTGCAGGTTGGAACATTCAACCTGCTCCACGTGTGATGCAGTGAGGGCTGTTGGGTGGTGAAAGGGAGAAGTTTCACAATCACTTGTGGAATTTGGCAGGTGTAAGATGGAAAGTGAACATTGAGGTCGAGCAGTGAATAGTTGGAGCATTCCTTTCCTTTTTCAGACAGGGGCATTGCTGGGTGGTTTGGGCTGAACCTGTGGGGGCGTGCGGTGCCCCTGCCACTGGCTCCCAGGGCAGTGTTATTTGGGGGGCTGAAGCCCTGAAATCCAGCTTGATGGAGAGACTTCAACCCATCTGTATTTCAGCAGCTGGCACAGGCCACTGAACCAGAGTGTAACGGGAAATTTGGAGCATGGTTGTGTTTGGTTGGTGATTAAACTCCTTCAGTTGGCACTGAGCTGCCCTGGGAGCACCAGGAGTTGAGGTGCTGGCTGCAGCCCGCTGTGTGGAAATGCTGGTTTGGGTTTCAGGTTGTGAGCTGCTTGGTGCAAAGAGAAAGGGCTTGTCTTCTCACTTCAGCTGAAAAATAACTCTGCTGAGGTGGCTTTCAGCCTGCTCTGATTTGCCATATGGCTCTGCAGCCCCGAGTGCTGGGGAGCAGAGTGAGGAGAAGGACTTGGGGGTGAGGAGCTGGGCAGGAGCCCCCCCAGCCTGGGCTGCCCCCCCAGCAGCGTGGGCAGCAGGGCAGGGAGGGGATCCTGCCCCTCTGCCCCCTCTGGGGAGACCCCCCTGCAGTGCTGGGGCAGCTCTGGAGTCCTCAGCACAGCAGAGCCAGGGAGCTGCTGGAGCGGGGCCAGAGGAGCCCCAGCAATGCCCCGAGGGGGGAACCCCTCTGCTGGGAGCCCAGCAGGAGAGAGTTGGGCGGGGGCAGCTGAGAGGAGAAGGCTCCAGCTGGGGAGACCTGCTGGGGGCTGCCAGGACTGCCAGGGGCCTACAGGAGCGCTGGGCAGGGACTGTTCCAAGGGCCTGTAGCGACAGGATGAGGGGCAATGGTATTAAACTCGAGCAGAGGAGATTTAAATTGGACGTTAGGAAGAAGTTCTTTACTCTGAGGGTGGTGATGCCCTGGCCCAGGCTGCCCAGAGAGGTGGTGCAGGCCCCGTCCCTGGGGACATTCAAGGTCAGACTTGCTGGGGCCCTGAGCAACCTGCTGTGGTTGCAGTGTCCCTGCTTGCTGCAGAGAGTTTGGACTAGATGACCTTTAAGGGTCCCTTCCAACCTGAAGCACTCTATGGTTCTACAGTTCCATGATTCTGGCCTTGCACCTTACTTTTGAAGCATCATGTAGCTGGACTGGGGAAGAAAACAGAGCTTTGAAGTTCCAGAAACACTTGGTTTAGTTTTTCTGAAAACACTTTTGCTTTCAGCTGTAAATTCTCTTCCTTGTGGCTCAGTCTTAGTTCTGCTTTTTCAGAAGTCATTTCCTGTTGATGAGGAGTGCAGCCAAGGGGATGTGGCCATCGTTGACAGCCTCAGTGGCAGCTAAAAAGAGGAGGAGATAGAAATAATTCTACTGCCTGCTTAGAGGGAGGGAACCCCACTGGCAACGTGTTGAGCAGTGGAATGATACCTGATTTATTTAAAACAAAAAAAATGGAAAAAAGAGCTGGATAACAGAGGGAGCTGTGAAATCTCCTGCAGGTACAAATAACATCTGGGTGGGAACACCCCCACTGGCAATGCCACAGCCCTGAAGAAGGAAAAGCCATCAGGCTGGCTGATTTATTTGTAAAGTTTCTACAGAAAATCCCCCTGAAGGTAATTTAAACACTGCACATCAAATCCCATACATGGAAAGCAGAAATGCTGCTGTGGGCTGGAGCTCTGTGGCATCAAAACCTGATCTCAACGTGCTCCTTGGCATTTGGGTGCCCCACTTCCCTCTGATCTCTCTTCTTGTGCTGGTTTGGATAGATGTGCTGCTAAAAGCAGAGCAGGGTGTCAGATGCAGGAGCAACAAAGCTGTAGAAAGAAAGAGATGGAAGTTGGTGTGCTACACATGAGCCATGGCTGTGGCCATGAAGAGAGGCTGGGCTCCAGAGCTTTGCCAGAGGTGAGCCAGCTTGATTAAGCTCCTTAGCTGTGTTTGGACTTCACTGGTGTGGTCTGTAGAGAAAGCTGCTCGTAAATACTCCCTTTTTATGTAGGGAGTCCAAGGTGAAGGCTGCAAAATTCCCCATCATATCTGATTTGTGGCTGTGTAAACTCATGGCAACCCTCTGGCTCCTGTGGTCGTCGTGGGTTTTGCTTCAAATACTGCAAAAAAACCCCTTAAGTTGTAGCCCTTGGGCTAGCAGGTGGAGTTTGTATTTCTGTAAAAACAAAAGCTGCTCTACAGGATGTAAGCATGAAGGGTTATTGACGTAGCTTTGGTAAAGCTGCTGCTCCCTGGCAGTGGAAAACCCAAGTGGCTGCTGGTGGAGGTGCTGCACCTCTTCAGAGGTCACAGATCTCGGGGGCTCTCGAGCTGAGCTTGAGCTCAAAGAATCAGAGCACTGGGCAGTGCCAGAGTTCTGAAATGCCACCACAGCCTGGCTGTACCCTGTCCTCGGTGGCATTTGGGTGCATGGTGCCTCACTGGGCTGTGGTGGAGATGAGATCTGTGTTTGTGATTCATTTTCATGTTTTGGGGGCTATAGAAGTTTTGGAGTTTGAGTTCCTGGGGCGACTTCCAGCTGGGAACAGGAGCACGAGAGGAACTTCACTGCACCCCACGCTGCAAACGTGGGGCTGGGAGGTTTTCAGATGCAGAGTGCAGCTTCCTGCCTGGGCCACTGTGTTCTGCCCAGTAACCTGAGCTGGGGATCCTTGTCCTGGCTTATTTGCCTTTCAGATGTCCCAGCCCCCCCTGCCTGTCCATCCAAGGGCCGGCTGCTGAAAGGTGCAGACACCTGATGAGGAAGTGTGGGCAAAATTACTGTACAAGAACATGAGAAGGGTCCAATTTGGGCTTTTATGAGAGTGTAACATGAGTCAACTTCAGGCTGTTTGGTTTTTTTATTTTTAAGGTTTAAAAAATCTTTACTCATTGACTTTCTTCCTTAGGCACCTCCCTGGGCATACATTGCTTGTGCCTGTGGCCTTTTCATCTACCAGTCCCTGGATGCTATAGATGGAAAACAAGCAAGAAGGACAAATAGCAGTACTCCATTAGGAGAACTTTTTGATCATGGCTGTGATTCACTTTCCACAGGTATTGTCATTTTTAATTGAAGTATGAGGATTAAATGATTCTTTCAGGGATCAAATCTGGAATACAGAAAAATGCTTCCTTACTGAAGAAGAGGACAACTGGTGCTGAATGTGTAGCTTTGCAGTCAACCTGCTTTCCACAGACAACACCCTTGATCAACAGTGTCTTCTTTTGTATTAAAATGGCCACAAAAAATTAAGCACATGATGATTCAGTCTGAGCCAGTTGTCTGTCTGCTTTATCAGAGCCTTGAGTCTAAAAATGTCTTGGAAGGAGCTGTCAAAATGCTCTTTCAGATTATTTTTAGACTGAATGTGTAGTGGTTGCAAGAGAGGGACAGCAGTGGGATAGCAGCAGTCTGAGGTTAAGGTTAGAAGCAGCAGGATCTGTTCCTGGGGAGGCAGAGGCTGTTGAGCCAGCCTGAAGTTTAACCCCCTTGCAAAAGAATGATCAGTTGTGTTTGGTTCCTTCACGTTCTAAAGCTCCTGTGCTTTAAATTTCTTAGGAATACTTCATTGTGTGTTTAAAGGGTAGAGGGGAAAGATAGAACCTTATCAGTGTGGAGTGACAGATGTTGGATTTTATTAATGGCATAATAAAAATTCAGGAAATGGGGGGAAAAAATCTCTCCAGGAAATTCTGGATAAACCAGAAAATCCCAAAACTCTGGCTGGAGGCAGTGATTGCTGAAATTACTGCAGGGCCTTGGATGTCTCAAGCTCAAAGATACAGGAGGCTAAGAAACACTCAATACTGAGGACTTCTGATAACAGATATTAACTTAAACACACATTTTCCAGCCTGTATTATGTTAAATGTGAAATAAAACCACATCAGGATCCCTCCCCTCTCCTTCTCTGGGTCCTTTTCGTTAGGTTGGCTTCTGGTCAGGCTCTTGACACACGCACACGCTTTGATCTTTTTTACTATGTGACTGATTTTCTTCTGCAGTCTTTGTGGTTTTGGGAACTTGTGTTGCTGTGCAGCTGGGGACGAACCCTGACTGGATGTTCTTTTGTTGTTTTGCTGGAACATTCATGTTTTACTGCGCCCATTGGCAGACGTACGTCTCCGGGACCTTGCGCTTTGGCATGTAAGTACCTTGGCTGAAACCTAAAACTTAAGCTGCTTTCTGGGCTGTTTGTACTTTGTGGTTGTAGTTCAGATCCTTAAAGCAGTAGTAAATTGTTTATATTTATGATATATATGTGCTTTGAGCTTGTGGAAGCTGTTAGCTGCTGGATTTGCAGTTAATACCGATGTTACTTTGCTTGGTTTAGGAGAAGTAAAATGTCCTTTTGGCATATTGGTTAATTAGGAGCTTTTGATGTGATTTAAACCTAAATAAATAAGGGAAAGTACTTGGTGTTTTAGCCCAAGAATGGGTTCTGTCAGATGGGGGCAGTCTGGCTTTAGTATTCAGTTAACTGCTTGTCTCTTATCTTGCTTGACTTCTGTAGAGTTAGTCTTTGCTGTTAACCATGACTCTTAAAATATAGCTTATTAATTGTCACTGTGCCCACAATTTCAAGTTCTGAATCTCTTTCAGCAACTGTAGTCTGTGGTTCTGTCAATAATGAGACCAAAATGTCAATACCTGGACAGTCAACAGCTGCAATCCCAGTTACTGCTGGGTGAGGAGCTGCAATCCCAGTTACTGCTGGGTGTGAGGGTGGGTGGGGGAATGGGACACAAGGACCTGCTGAGCTGTGGGAGTCACCAGCCATAACGTGGAGATGTTTGTTCTGTCTTTCCACTCCTAGGTCTTGCAGTCTAACAAACTTATTTCCAGTAAATGTGCTGCAGAATGATTTTGCACCTGGAAACCTTGGAAATTTGCCCTGAGTTTGTATAAAACTCTGAAACAGTGCTACAGTACACACTGTTTATTTACAGTTTTTGATCTGTAGCTACCCAGATGCTGCTAAAACAGCACAACTATGGACCTCTTGTCTGTAACAGCTCTTATTTTGCAGAATTAGTGCATATTCTTTTGAGAAGCTTCTGTTTCTGCTCAAAACTATAAGATGCCACACAAGTTTCCAGTGTCTATTGGAGGAAGAGAATTAGAAATCTAGACCCCTATTCTAATCCTGGCTACACCAAAACAGGTAGAATCATTTCAGTCAATTTTCTGATACTTAAATCTTTAAAGCTCAAATCTTAGATTTTAGGCTACTTCTGTGTTGTTCTGAGAGCCCCAATACTGAATGCTTTAGGCTGCTTTTGAACTTTATGGGGCCACAATAATGAAAGTTTTCCTGTTATTGAGCAAAGAATGCAAATACCCCCGACCTTGGCATGTGCTTGACTTTACAGACCCCACCCTCAGACCCACCAATTTGCCTTTGTGCCCTGGACAAATGTGTCTGTTGCTCCTGGAATTCACTGTGTCTTCTGCTTTCTGCCTTTTTGAGGAGTCTTTCTAGTTTGGAGACAGCATTTTGTGGCAGATATTATTTTGTGTGACCTTATATTGTGAGGATGTGATGATCCATCCCCAGGCAGCTAAATTAGAGAAGGCAATAAGCACACAAATGTCTATGGGCCATTATTTTGGCTAACAGACAGCACTGTCTAGTAAACACATTTGTTTCTTCATGTGCCCCATGTCAGAAGGTTAATAAACTGCTGTAAGCTGATGATCTTTTCTATGGCAAAAACTCTGATTATTTATCTAATTAACTGATTCTCACTGTTTGATACTATTTTTTTCCTGAAGCTTTCATTTCACCAGCCATAAAGCTGAATAAAGTCAGTGTTTTATCTACCCCTTCAGATTCACTGGAGCACACAGACTTAGGTGTTCTTACTCCTGACTAAGTGGAATTGGAGACAACTGTTGAAAGGAGCTGAGCAGGTCTCAGTGCACAGAAGCTTTTCCCTGTCTGTGTACCCTACATAGCAACTCTGTCAAAAAATACACCAAGGGGCTGTGAATAGGAGTGATGTTCCAGGAAACATGGCAGCATTTCTGACTTGCCTTCCCTTCCAATGAAGCAGGAAAGAGCACAGAGTGTTATTGCTTATTGCATTTCTGTGATGAGATGATGCCCAAGAAGTTGTATTTCATCAGGTAACAATCCCATAAGCAAACTGGAAATGGCTCAGAAGGGAGAGATTAATATTCTACTCCTTACACACAGCTCAAACTTGAACAGTTACATGTATAATCAACTTGGCTTGCTGAAAAAGCCCCTTGTCTTCAAAATAAGAGAAATGAAGGTGTCAAATTAAGTGCCTGCTGATGGAACAGAATGATTCATGTGTGCTGCCACTGTACCAGGTCTGACAGGTCACTGAGGCTGTGCAGAGAGCACTTGGCAGGTTCTGTGTGCAGAGTAGCAGCCTGCAGCCCGAGGGAGGAGGAGATGGGGTTGCTCCAGCTGAATTCCTGTGGAGCACTGCAGGTGGAGGAGGAAAGCTATGTGTAATTATGCTCAATTACTGACTACATCAACTGTGCTGCTGACAACTGCAGGGAGCTGCCCTGTGCTGCTTTAGGACTGTAGACTAATCAGTGAGTCCATAAGGTCCTGTGATCTGTCTCCACCTTCAAGGGATCATATAATTCTATTAGGTCTTGGCAGCTGCTGCAGCCTTTTCAGAAAGCTGCTTGAGTTGGTTAAACATCTCACAAAAAGAGCTAGAGGTCAGCATTGCTTCAAAATTCCCTGGGAAAGGAGCAGGAAGTGTCTCAAAGTTGGGCTGGCTACAGTGAAAGTCCCTAGAGGAACAGGGACAGTGCAAAGGCAGCAGGGAGCAGCATGGACAGAGTTGTAGGCAGAAGTTTTGTTTAAAAACAACCCCCTGACCTGGGAACAAGCTTGTGCAAGAGCAAGAATATGCTGCATTTTGAAGAAACAAAGAGGAGATTCTGAATTACAGGAGAGCATTCAGTATTGCAGCAGTCTGAATACTCCTGTCCTGGTTTTTCAGCCCAGTAACTGGTTTATCTGGGTTGGGGACTTGCTGCAAGACAGAGTGAGTGTTGTTTAGGCTTAATCATGTCTAGGTGCAGCTGTGCCATAACTGAGGCATCTCTGGTTGGGGAAAAAAGTGCATTTTTCTCCTATATGTCACAAAAATCAAACTGGCAAATGCCAGTGGACTTGCACACCTCCATGTGGAAGCAGATCTGGTAATTTGGGTAATGCTGGAGGAACCAGAGGCATTAGGGAATAGGGGGCACAAACCCTGAGAGGATTTTGCCTGCTGTTGGCTGGAGCTCAGTTGTTACTGGCTTGGGTACTTCCAGATCCAAAGTTTTTCCCCTTGGATCCAGTACTCTGCCTTCAAGAGGTGTACTGGGAGACAAGTGTGTGTGCAGGTTCCATGCTGAGTCCACCTTCCAAGGTCAGTGCACAGACAGTCTAACTGCAGGAGCTGTCTCAGATCCAGGGTGGTGAGGAGTGAAACTAGAGCCATTAGTGTGTGTCAGAGCTGAGCTGGGCTCTGCCTTGGACCTTGAGTGTTGTCTTAAAGACACAGGACTGCACAGGGAGAGACCTTGTGCCTCTGGCCATGCTGCACTGGGCGTGAGGAAGTGCCAAATCATTTTTTAAAACCCCAGTGACATGCAGATGTTGTTGCACCATGGTCTCCAGCATTTCTCCTATGAGTTAGAGCTTTATCCCAGCCTTTCTTAATTGAAATATGGGAAGCTGATGACAGTAGAAACTATTAAGGAGATGTGTATGTGTAAATCTACATGTGACAGATGGGAATTTGGTTTCTAGAGATGTTTCATAAAGGTGTATTTATAAACACTGAGGGGAAGGATCAGCTCTTACCAGCTGTCATTAACTGAAAAGTTTAAAAATGTTACTTCACTGTTGGAATGATAGTGCCTGGAGAAAGCAAAAGAATTCAGGCTACCCAAACAGCTGTTAATGAGGAATGTTGGAGAATTTGGGGGAACATTCCTGTTCAGTGACACAGTGGACATGGGAGAGAGCCCACTTGATAACAGGGTAGTTCAGGAAAGGAAGGTTTATTTGGGCAGCCCTCTGAGCCCTCTTGCCAGTACTACCACAGAGGTATAAGGGGTAACATGGACTCATATTTCAGAATATATAGATTGCAGAAAGCAGCTAAAATTAAGCCTTCCTTGTTAGCAGGAGAGTGTGATCTCTCCAGATGGACAACTCACAGTAAATGCCAAAAGGGGTGGAAGCCTTCAGTTAGTTGAAGTTTAGTACATTGAGTTCCTGCTCTTGGGCACAGCTTCAGGATTCTGGTAGGAGATAAGGCAATAATCTCCATGCTTATAGGGCTTAAAACTTTCCATCCTCTGAGCTTTTTTTCAACACTTCTCAAAGACCTTTAACACCTTGGTTATTTGCAGAGGAAAGTCTGAAGCTCGGCAGAGCCTTGAAGCTGGGGGGAGTTGGTTTTTCTACGCTTGCAAGAACAGTGTGTTGAGGTGTTGCTGTGGTAGGTGCTAAGTCTGCTGCTTGCAACCAGCCTGCTGCATATTCAGGCCTTGTTGCCACCTGCCAGCACCTCTGTAGAGCTTGCTGTGTGTTGTAGAAGTGTAAGTGCCTTGCTCCAGCATGAATACATACAGCTGGAACTGCTGAGGGCTGACTGAACGAGGAGGAAGGCTTCACAACAAGATTTTCCTCTTCTTTCCCCTCTCCCAAATCCCTTTGCAGTGTTTTGAACCAGGAGGTCATGTGCAGAGATGCTGCTGCTGCTGAGGGGTTTTTTTTCTGCCTTTACCATTGAAATGTTGAGATGTTCTTAGTGCTCTGTCACCTAGTGAGCTCCAGTGTTCCAAGGTGGAGCACGTGGTTCCTCTCTGACCTGTGCAGCTTTTAGTGTGTGTTATTGAGCAGCAAAAGGAAAAATGAAGGTATCATCCTAAGTGCCTTACAATGAGGAAAGGAGAAAAAGCTTCTGGCTCGTGTTGAGGTAAAAATAATATGAAAAATTAATTTCCTGCAGCTGGAAATAGTTTTAATCCATGTACTCATTTCTTTCTCCTCTACAGTTTTATTCATGCTGTTTATATTTCATTACATCCAAGTGACAGTGCTGGGCTGGAATGAGTTAAGATTAAATTCTGCAATAACTGTTAAAACTAAGCAT